TTTGTTTGGTTTCCGTATTATGCAATTGTATTTAACGTTATTATTTTGCTTTCATTGTCTTTTGGTTAGGGAGAAGGAAGGGAAATCTATGTGGAGATGGTTATAAAAAATACAATTTCCCTTCTAGAGGGAAATGGCCCAGTGCCCAGTGTTTGCCTTGTTGGGGACACTGCTTGCCTCTGCCCATCTTCAAGAATCTCCACCAATTATGGTTGTACTTGAACCCATGGCAAGTATTTATGTGACTTCGGTTCATATCCAACTAGCATAACTCCCATTCTTTTGGGTTTTTGTCTGTGCTAAGGATTCTTATCGTCGCTACGGGCTGATGTTGATTACTTCTAGCCTGTGCCTCCCGTACCCTGTAAAAGAGGAGGATAAAACTACCTTTGTAACTTCATTTGGACTGTGACAAATGCCTGGGATATTCTGTTGGCCCATAAGTAATGGACTAATTTACTGTCTAGTTTCAAAAGGCAGAAATGACTTCCAGAGTCTGTTTCTTTTTTTCCTTCATCGAATCAGTCTTAGTCTGGCTCAACTAGGAAAAACTCTGTTGAGGCAGGGTGTGGTGGCCTATACATGTAGTCCTAGGAAGCTTGAGGTAGGAAAATTGTGAGTTTCAGGCCAGCCTGGGCTACATAGCAAGGCCTTATCTCAAAAACAAAAATAAATAAAGACAGGCACTGGTGGCTCACACCTGTAATCCTAGCCACTCAGAATGTTGAGATCTGAGTATTGCAATCCCATTAGAAGTCAGCCCAGACAGAAAAGTCAATGAGCCTCTTATCTTCAATTAAACAGCAAAAAGTTAAAAATAGAGGTATAGCTCAAGTGGTAGAGCACCAGCCTTGACTGAAAAAGCTGACCTAGAATGTGGAGGCTCTGAACTCAAGACCCAGTACCAGCACACATGCACACACAAAAACATGCACACACACAACCAAACAACAACCAAACGAACAACAGAATCTCAGTTGAGGACCACCCTTTCCTTCAGGTCTTGGTCTGTTTATTTTATAGCTAGATTATTACATATGGCAGCCACTATCCACATGTGGTCTCTTAAAATTAACTAAAATCAAATGCAAGCTACATATTTGGTCCTTGGTTGTATTTGCTATCTTTCAGTGTTTAATATCCACCTAGAGCTTATGGCTACTGTATCAGCACAAACATCCTGGAAAGGTGGCTTTATAGCACTGTAGATTTCTAGGATCATGTCCTTTTATCACACTGTGTGTAACTTCTTAATCTGTATTGCACCCTAGGATAGAACCTTTTGGTGGGCAGGTGCCCTGCTGGTTGTCTGGGGTCCCAGCAGTTTGGGGCTCCTACTACAGAGTAGATATGCAGAGGGACAAGCAGACTGGAGATTTGCCTCATCCTCCATGTCTGTGTGGGCCCAGAGTAATGTCTTCTGTGAAGTCACTCTATTAAAGCTCCATTTATAGAGCTTGGCTTGTTTTTTTAAAAGCAGTCACAAATACACACAGTTCCCAAGCAGATGAAAATGAGGCAGCATAGGCAATTCAAGATCGTCTTTAAAGCGATGGCCCTGTGCTGTCTCTGAACATTTTTCAGGGCCTCAAGGGCCAGTAATTTCCAAACTGAATCTTTTGAGAGTTCCTCTGAAGATGAGGACCATCTCCGTGGGTTGGGATAGGTGGGGAATGGAGGCTCTTTAACCTGTCTGGTTTTAGACAGGGTGTTCTCCTTGTTATTAAGCTGGTCTCTGGCATAGCTGCCACGAGTCTTTGTGGTAAAGAGCAAGCCACTTTCCAACTGGATTTTTGTCCTGTGGTTCAATGCCACGGTGATACCTGTGGCTCTCCTCTTCCAGGGGCAGCAGAGCAGACAAGGCAACCTCTGCAGGTTTGAAAAGCAATGTTGTCTTTCTCTATCCATCTTTTATTCTCGCTCTCTCTCTCTCTCTCTCTCTCTCTCTCTCTCTCTCTTAAAGCCAGTTAGGTTAAAAAAGACAGCGCAAGAACTTTCCATAAGACTTGTATTAACTTTGGTATTATTGTTGTCGTTGTTGATGATGATGATTGCTATTACTTAGGTTTGAACTTTGGGCAAGGTTGGCTTGCTTACTAGGCTGGTGCTCTATCATTTGAGCCATCTCTCTAGTTGGCTTTTTTGTTGTTGTTAATTTGGAGACAAACTCTTGTGGACTTTTCTGCCCTGGGCTGGCTTTGAACTATGATCCTCATATCTCATTCTAGGATAGCTAGGTTTACAGGCGTGAGCCACTGGTACCTGGGTTTATGTTGACTCATTTTATAAAAGAAGCAGGATGAGTAGCGTCTTCATGAGAAAATTAGTTTCCTCATGGAACTTCCCCAACATTAAACAATATGCATGTGTGCGTGCTGGGAGCTGTCCCCATGGCTCGGCCCGATGCCCAGGCTTCTAGGACCAAGCTGCACTACGCTTAGTTGCTATAAACTGATACCACCAGCAAAGACATTGACCAAGCTGAAAAAAATGAATCAGAAGCTGTTCACCAAGAGTCTACTGTGGGAGCAGACACCAAATATGACCTCCAGAGAAGACAGCCCTGTCCTCCAGGCACTTCAAGCCCACTGAGGCTTGGCATGATTATAGAGTCAACGTCAGCATTGCCAGCAACCCAAGTGTGCCTGTGACATTGGCAGGTGTTGCTCCTTCCAGCCCCACTGAGAGAGTCCAGTGTGCTCAGGGCTCTGCTGAGTGAGGTGGACAGTAGACCCTGGTCTCCAGGCCCAGACTCTTGCCTTGTGGGTTAGGCTTTTGGTTGCTGTGACAAAAATACCTGACAAAACAACTTAAAAAGGGCAAGGATTTATTCTGGCTCACAGTTTCAAATATTTTAGTCAATAATTGGCTAGCTCCAGTGCCTTGGCTCTGAGATAAGTGTGCATGGAAGAGGTTTTCTATCTCATGGTAGACAGGAAACAGATGGGAGGGGGCGAGAACAGAGAGGGAGGGAGGAAAGAAGGAGAGTAGAGGGGGAGAGGGAGAGGGAGAGAGAGAAAAGTAAGGCTTGGAACAATATATAGTTCCTTAGGACATGCCACCAGCTTCTTCCAGGTGGGCTCCACCTTCTAAGGTTTCTAGAACCTCCCCAAATAGTACCAAGCCTTAAATACATCAATCTTTTGGTGCGGGGTGTGTGGGGAGGTGTCATTTCATATCTAAACTTCTGGATTATACTGGTCCAATTACTATTTTCTGGCTGTGTCTTGTAGTTGTCAACAGAGATTCACTAACAAACAGGCTTGTGGTTAAATAGATTTGGAAGATGCATCATTGTATATGCTACTTGGTCTGGTTATTGATGGCTTTGTGACAAGTGATCACAAAAAGTAATAGCTCAACACAGTGGAATGGGAAGGTGGCTCAGTGGTAGAGTGCTTGCCTTGCATGCATGAGGCCCTGGGTTCGATTCCCCAGTACCACATAAGCAAAAAGAAAAAAAAGCTGGAAGTGATGCTGTGGCTCAAGTGGTATAGCGCTAGCCTTGAGCTGAAGAGCTGAGGGACAGCACCCAGGCCCAGAGTTCAGGCCCCACGACCAGACCCCCCCCCCAAAAAAAAACAAAAAACACAGTGGAATATTATTACTGCTCACAAGTCTGTGGTTGCTTGGGCTCAGCTGGATTTTTCTTCTGGGAGTGTCTTGTACAGTTACTTATTTTACTTATTTTCATGTCTGTTGGTTGCAGTCAGGTGCCAGGTGGACTTGGGTTGATAGCATGTTTCTTTCTCCATGTGGTTTGGACACGTGCTGACTTGGACTTTTTATAGTGTGGTATCTCAAGGTCATTTGGTTTCTTACTGGCAGCCATTTCCCCCATAGTGGGTACTGGAACAGGCCTAGCAAGAAGCTGCAGACTTCTGCATAGCCCAGCACAGAAGTCCCCAAATAGCACCTCACTTCTACAGCATTTTCCTAGTCAGGTAAGTCTGAATCAAGGTTTGACACTAACACAAAGGGAGAAGTAGCAAATCATTTGCAGGTTTGGTCAATTCACTGTACCTCGTGGAGAGTCATAGTTCCTAAGAGTGAATCAAAGGTGCCTGAGAATTCCTGTACTGAAGAAGTATGTTTAGCTTGGCCTTTCTCAAGCTGATTCTTATTGCTGTTTTTAAAATCAGGAAATACCTTTCTCACAGAAAATAACTCACATTCTGCCAGAGGGCAGTCAGCAGAATGGGAGGATGATGGATGTGGGGCTCGATTCTATTGTCTAATAAAGAAAAATGAGTCCAGAGATGGAATTTGGATCTAGATAGTGAGTGGTTGATTTGAAGAAGTACAAGTAGACATCCTTGTGGATAGGGAGCATGAATGTCCTAGAGATTAGAGCTTTAACCTTATTTTCAACAGATTTAAGTTCAAATTCTTCTTCTATTCTTCAGAACTACATGACATTGGACTAGTTATCTCTCCCTAGCCTTTAGTTTCCTTATTGACAGAGAGTTTCTATTGTATAGAAAATATTTATATTGTACTGGATGGATGTAGTGGCCAATGTGGTACTTTATATGGTTTCTTTGCATAGGACTTCCTCATGAAGAGTAAACACCTCTCTGTTAGACTTTGTGTTGTTCAGTTCCTTTCACTTCCTTTTTTTTTTTTTTTTTGAATCAGTCATAGGGCTTGAATTTGGGGCCTGGGCACTGGCCCTGAGCTCTTTTGCTCAAGGCTAGCACTCTACCACTTAGAGACACAGAGCTACTTCCAGTTTCCTGGTGGTTAATTGGAGATGAGAGTCTCATGGACTTTTCTTCCCAGACTGGCTTTGAACTGCAGTCCTCAGATCTCAGCCTCCTGATTAGCTAGGATTATACGTGTGAGCCATCAGCCCCTGGCTTACCTCTAGGGTTTTCTGACTCTGCATTTTTTTGAAATTTGCTTTCCAGGGGCAAGTTAGTACTGTAAGTCATGGACTTCCCACCACTTTTCTTGCAAAAGTAACCTCTGTGCCCTTTCATGTTTTTTTTTAAATCTAGTTTCTAATAAGTGACCGGGACCCTCAGTGCAACCTCCACTGCTCCAGGACCCAACCTAAACCTATCTGCGCCTCCGATGGAAGGTCCTACGAGTCGATGTGTGAGTACCAGCGAGCCAAGTGCAGAGACCCGACCCTGGGTGTGGTCCATCGAGGCAGATGCAAAGGTGAGTGCATGTGCACAGTGTCAGCCCATAGGAGAACACTAGGACTCAGCTGGTACACTGAGCTGCGTGCATGCGGATGTATCTGGTCATTTGGTTTGCTGTGATTTCTCTTTGGCCCTTTCCATCAGGAAGTAAAGGAAGACAGGACAACCATTTTCCCATCCTTTAGACACTGCCAACAGCCTAGGACTTAAATGTGCTGTTCTCTGGCTGCTTTCTTGTTTGCCTTTGGCTTGTTTTAAAATAGAGCTAAAAGCATTATTGGTAGCTTCTGAATAGGGATTCCAAAATGTTGGCCAACAGATGTGCTTTGTTTGAGCTGCTCTAAAACATAAAAACATTTGAGACAGCATTTTAAAAATGGAAGGATTTAAAAATGGAAGGATTCAATGTAAAAAAATTCTAGTTTTTTTTTGTGTGTATCTCTTCCCAAATTGAAAGTTATTAGGAATATTAAGTCTGTGCTTCTGCAAATGGCACACCACAGGGGATCCTGTTCTCCAATTTGCCATAGTCATCAGAGCGTCCTACGGGCTCTCAGAACTGATGGCATCTCTTCTCAGGCCAATTTATATCACTTTCCTGGTTCCTGTGGATAGTTATATTTGAGACTCGAGATTTCTGAGAGGAATGATAAAAGGCTAAGCAGAGTGCCTCAGAAATATTGGTTTTTTTAAAGAACGTGCTGGCAATTCTTTCACTATAGAGTATCTTTTAGGTCCCGTTGGCTTATATGTTTTAGAATAAACCTGGGAAAAATAATGGGAGGGAAACATTTTTTCCACGCCCCCCCCCCCCGCGGGTGAGAGTAGGAATATTTGGGAGAAAAATATGGGCAACCTGGTTTCCACTGCCCCTCTCCCCCACTGTGGCTAGCCTGCTATCATCTTATCACGAAAAACCGTGGTTGTGTGTGGACACTTCACACAGGGCCAGGGTTTTTGCATTCCTGCCACCGGGCAGCCATTTGGGGCCATGGTGTCCAGTGTGGATTCCAAGTGAAACAAGAAATACGCTCCTCTCCCCTTTTAGATGCTGGCCAGAGCAAGTGTCGCCTGGAGCGGGCTCAAGCCCTGGAGCAGGCCAAGAAGCCTCAGGAGGCTGTGTTTGTCCCGGAGTGTGGTGAGGATGGCTCCTTCACCCAGGTAAGGCTTTGGCCAGTTCTCTGGGGGCTGGGGCTGGCCTGAGGCAGAGGAGACTCACTCTGAGAGTGCAAGGCCCACTAGGGACCTTCACTTCCTGGGAAGCAGCTGAACGAGTGGCTCTTCCAGTCCCCCCCTCACTGCCTTCCCCCTCCTGGCCCTCCATACTTACTACCCCTTGCCAACTGGCAGTGGGCCCTGACAGACGCAAGGAAGTTGGAGCCAGGAAACTGGCATTGCAGTGGTCCCCGTCCTTGCTGCTGGCAGTCTCTTCCAAGGGCTAGACCTGAGTTTTTCTCTGCTGTCAAATATGGGCTGATTATGTTTTCTTTGCCCTGCCAGTTTCCATGGGCAACCCCAGTATTCCCTTCACTGCCACCTCTGAGCACACTGCTGCTTGCTACCCCTGTCCATGAACACAGTAGAGCCCTCTATGGGCACAGAGCATGACATGGCTCCTAGAATGTTCTTTGCATACACACATGAGTGTGTGTACACTTGGATTTTTAATTTCAATTTTATTGTGGTGTGTGTGTGAGTGTGTGTGTGTATGCTGGTTCTGAGACTTGAACTCAGGGCCTAGACACTGTCTCTGAGCTTTTGTGTCAAGGCTAGCACTCTACCACTTGAACCCACAGCTCAACTTTCAGCTTTTTGGTGATTACCTGGAGATAAGAGTCTCATGGACTTTCCCGAGGGGGCTGGCTTGGAACAGTAATCCTCAAATGACAGCCTCCTGAGTAGCTTGGATTACAGGCGTGAGCCACTGGGACCTGGTTATACTTACCTTCTAAAGTCTCTTTCAGGCCCTCCCACCCCTCATCCTGCAGGGTCTTCTCTGCAGTGTTTTGTGTAGAAGTAATGCTGACCATGTTGAGGTTGGGGCACATTGTTGATGCTGATTGTGAAAGCACTTCCAAGATGCTTCCTCCTACACAGGGTCTTGTGGCTGGGAGGGGGAAGGGGCTTCTGTGAGACTTGGGTCACGTGCCTGCTGCATGAAGTGCTGTCTTGATGGGAATGGGGAAGGTCATTGAACAGGATGAATTCAGTGGTATTAAATCATCCCTGTAATTCTGGGTCAGTGAGGTTAAGGGTGGGGCCTTGTCTTTAGTGTGAGGGGCTTCAGGCTTCATTCCTGGGCTGGCTTTAAATAGGAGATTATTGATTTCATACTGACTCCTTGTTCAGGCAGAATTGTCCAAGGGCAATGGGAACTGGACATAAGCCCTCTAAAAGTGTCCCTGTGGATTCCAGTGTACAGCCAGGCTCAAGCACTGGGATAAACTGGCCTTGGCCACTGACCTTGGGCCAAGGGCTTTGATCAATTTCTTGTTTAAAGCTCACCACAAGCCTGCAGGTAGGGTCATTATCCCCATTTATGGCTGGTACAACCAGCACTAGGAGGGGAGTGGAGAGCTGGGTTCAAGCCCAGAGTCCTGCAGAGAACTATGCTCTGCTGTTCTCTGGACTGGCAGCTTCAGAGGTGGGCGCTGGTAGTACGAGGCTGTGGTTAGCGCTCTGTTGCTGAAGCCAGATATCCTGGGAATGATGCCCACCCCACCACTCATGCTTTGTATGTGGGGGGGGAGAGAGTGGGGGGGAGTGGGGGGGGCAGAAAGGGAGTGTCACAGTTTCCTTATCTGAAAAAAATGCAGCTAATTATCTCCATTACTACTATATGTTATACATATGCTAAGTACTATCATTTACATTGTCATTTACATGATGAATTGCCCTTATGACTTTACATATTGTGTATTGCTATTGTTATTCCCCTTGCTATGATTACTGTAACTTCTTTCATAGGGTTGTGGGGAGGAATGGATGCGTTAGCATGTGTAAAACACTTGGAACACAGGAACTCCATACAAGTGTTTGTCATTATCATCATCAAGATTGCCATCTCCATGATGATTCTGCTATTCAGATTTTCCTAAAAATTTTATGGATGATGCCACTTAATAGAATAACAAAATATAACCCCCAAAAACTTTTGTGGGAACTTTCCAAGCTGATCAATTTAAAAACAAATCATTTATTCCAATAAAAATGCAGGTTGGCTGGGTACCGTGGCTCATGTCCGGAATCCCAGCTACTTAGGAAGTGGAGATCAGGAGGATTGTTGTTTGAGGCCAGCCAGGACAGCCAGGGCAAAAAGTTAACAAGAAGGACAGCCCCCTCCCCCAACCATCTCAAGCAAGAAGGCAAACATGGTGGTATGTACCTATTATCCAAACTACTCAGGAGGCCATAAGTAGAGGGATTGGGGTCTGAGGCCCATCCTAGGCAAAAGCATAAGATCCTATCTGAAAAGTAAGAAAAAAGGCCCAAGTGGTGGAATGTCCACCTAGTAAACATGAAGCATTGGATTAAAAACCCAATAAGGACAGAGGCTGGGAAAGAGGAGTGGGAGAAGGAGACGGAGGGGAAAGAAAGAAAGAGGAAGAGACAGAGGAGGGAGGAAGAGAGGGAGAGAGAGGTATCTATTTGAAACTGCATTGCAAGCATCCTTCAGTTATCCTTGTCTGGGAATAGGAAATTAAACCTTTCTCAGATGAGTTTGGGGGCTGGTATGGGGGGAGGGGAGGTGATGGAGAGGAGGGCAGAGTGGAAGGCAGCTGGTTTTCCTGCTTCTCTAGGCTTGTATGGTCCTGGGTGTGGTGCTTATGAGAATGGTTGACCCTTGCCCTCCTGATTCTGAAGTGCTGCTGCCTTGTGATGGACAGCTGCCGGCCAGCTTTTGTTTTGTGGAGGCTGGGCTAGCCAGGTGGTGTTTGCTGAGGGAAAGAAACTTCCAGATTAGTCCAGGTGGACTTGCTAAATGAGAGTGCCCTGAAACTCCACAGAGGTTGCCCAGCCAGGTATACTTTGCTCTGTGGCATGTTAAGTATTACCATGTGTCCATGGCTTTCCCCTCCCCCCTCCACTGTCCCAGACTTGTGGACATCTACCCAGCTGCCCATCCCAGCTCAAGTGATTGAAATGGATGCACTTTTCTCCTGATCAAAGACAATGCAAGCACTTCACAAAATTGAGGCGGTCTCTTCACATGTGCTTCAGTGACAGGGACAGGCAACTCCAATTGCTGTGAGGCTGAAAGCTCTTGCTTTGCCCCCCCCCCCTCCATGAGCACTTAGCTGGACAATTTTCAAGACCAAAGTTAGAGAGGAGGGACATTGTTTCAATATTGCTTAGAATATTGACACATCTGCATCCTGGTGTTAATAACCTGCCATAGCCCTGGGAATTACGCAGAGGAACTCTCTTGAAGTTGATGGAGTGGGGTGGGGTTAATATGGTGTGAGACACAGCTTGAGGCCACATGACTGGGCTGGCTTTAATGGGGTTCATGTGAGACTCGGTGGCTTTTGTTCTCTTCCTTTGTTTCCCCTTGTCCTCTTTCTTCCCTCCTCCCAACTTAGTGCATACACACAAGTGGCTCTTCTTCCTTCTCCAGCAGCAGCAATAAAGCTGCACATAGATCACATTTGATTTTAAAACCTCAATATGTCAGCCATGTTGCAGTCCATTAAGTCAAATTTCGAGAACAATACCCAGATACTGTATTTTTTTTTATTCTCTCTCCCACCCCCAACCCCAAGTGATACAAGTATTTGGTCAAAGTTCCAAATGCTGTGGGAAGGACAGGGCTTTGTTGCTGTGGTTCTTGATTGATGGTTGGGATGTAGAGTTAAGGATTTTTGGTGACTTGTTGAATAAAGTCAAGAGCCACAGGTGCTGCTCTTGGTTGTGGTCTTAGCTATTTTCTCTTCTGGGTATCAGGAACATAATTCATGGCATCTGTTGTACCAAGTCCTTTGCCAAGTAGTTGTGTGGTACCCAAGATGATGGCCTGGAACCTCAGTGGCAGGGCATGGATGTTGGATTGCTACCATGAGGAAGTGCAGCAGGAACTTGGCACCTGTGGGCATCACTGAATACAATAGGGTCACCACTGGGGGCTGCCAGGTGCCAGGCAGCCAGGTTAACTGAAGATGGAGTTTTAGTTCTGTCAATCTCCACAACAGGCTTTTTGAGGTATTAATACCTGTATTTACAAATACTCTATTTACAAAGAAAAAAAATGGGTTTCAGAGGGAGAGAATCACAGTACGAAGTCACTGAGCTAGAAAAAAAAATTGTCTCCAAGCCTGCGTAGCTTCAAGCCCTGTGTTTGTAATGTTTTTGTGCTACAAAAGTGGCCTTGATGCATATGTATTTCATTTCCATCACCATTGTTATTCCAGAAGTTCCCTCTCGTTGCCCAATCAATCAAACTCACATTAAAAAAACCTTTTGATTATGGAAATTAAAAAAGTAGGCATAATAGCATAATGAACTCCATGTACCCAACACGAGCTTCCACAATGATTGACACGTGGCCAATTTTGTTTCATCTGAGCCCCATTTTTGTCTCCCATCCCACACTGAAGTGCTTCAAAGCAAATCCCCAGGCACAATATCTTTTCATTCCAAACAGGCATTTTTGAGCTCCACTGTGTTCCAGGCTATGTGCTTGTTATTATGGGGCATTAATAAGATGTTGTGACCTTTGCCTTCAAAGAGGTTATGTGCAAAAAAACCCCTGCAAAGTAACTATATAAAAGATCAGATACATACAATATATTTACATTCTGTCATGGTGGCTGTAATCCTAGCTATTCAGGAGGCTGAAATCTGAGTTCTTGGTGTAAAACCATTCTTCTGGGCAGAAAAGCCTATAAGACTCCATCTCCAGTTAACCAGCAAAAAGCCCAATTAGAGGCTTGGCACAAGTGGTAAAGCACCAGCCATGAGCAAGCAAATAGGTCAAGAGGCAAGGCCCTGAGATCTATATAAATTAAATTATATTAAGTGAAGTAAGCCAGGCCCAAAGAAACATAGGTCCCATGGTTTCCCTTATTTGCAATAACTAGTATATGTCTGAGGCAAGCAGAAAAGGTCAGATAAGATGATGTTAGGTGAAATGCACCCCAAGATAGGGACACAAGTGGTTTTTT